CTTACAGAATATTAAAAAACAAAACTACAAGAAAACAAAATAGATCAGTTTTTGGAAAAATGTAATAGTTGTAACTTAGATCAAATTAGAGAACAGAAAAGTTGTAAAAGATAGAACAATAAAAAAGCTCTTTGTTAAAACTTATTAGTAAGAAAAAAGTGTTCAAACTTGAAATAGAACAAGAAATAATAAGGGAATTAGAACACAATAAGTCAATCAAACTAAGCAAACATGAAAGCCTAGTTAAAGAAATAGTATATGAAGATTTAAATATAGAGTTTATAAAAAAACAATAACTTAGCAAAGTACTTAAAGAAGAACTAGTTTATAAAAACCAAAAAAACAAACTAGAAAACAATAAAGAATTGATTTTTTATACAGATAGATTATTCAAGAAAGCATTAACAGAAAATTCAGTAGAGAGTGATTGTATAAGAATAGGATAAGTGCAAGTAGACAGTAAAAAAGAAAAAGTAATTAATAAAAATGCAATTAGTGCACAAAATTGGCCTTCATCAACAAAATCAAAATTGCTTGTAATTTGGTATATGCTTCTAATAATACCAAGAAAGAAAAAAGTCAAAATTTACACTGACAGTACAGTAGCAATAACAGATCTCAATAAAAGAAAAAGATTAAAGTTATGCAAACATTGGATTAAAAAAAAGAACTATAATCTTAAAAGAAATATATTAGAGTTACTTAGTTTAAAAGAATTAGAATTAGACTTAATTAAAATAAAAAAGTATAGTTGTAACAAATAGAATAATAGAGCAGATAAATTAGCAAAAGAAAAGAGTAAAATAGATAATTTTATAGAATAATAGAAGTACCATCTTCAAATTCAAATGTTTCATTCTGCTAAGAGAATTTAGTAATTAAAAGCTTGACAAAAAAGTTATCAAAAATGTATTAGAACTTAAGATCAGAGCAGAATAGAGATTTATAACATCAATTCAAAAAATAGAACCAAATCTAAAAAAAGAAGAACATGATTAATCAATACTGTGACAAAACATTAAAGGTTAAAGTAGAATAAAATATACAAGTATGAAGAGAAACAGAAAATTAGAAACATTAATTAAATGCATAAATGAAAAGTTATTTGTATTTAAGATCTTGGCACAAAGACAATCAGATTTATACAAAAATGTAATTTGTATACTATGTAATAAAGATCACAAAGAGGATTAAGATTATCTAATAATATGTAGAGAGCATAAAAAAGAATAAAATAGTACAGAAAATACAGCAATTAACTTGGCATGAACAGTACTTGTAAAAGAAATCTATAGAAAGATAAGTAAAAAAATAAAATAAAAAAGCTCTTATAGGAAACTTTAAAAGAAGAAAAATTAGCAAGCAGATTTAAAATTATCAAAAAGCTAATATAAAAAAAAGTCAAGAAGATGGTACAAGATATTATACAATCTTTAAAAAAAGCCAAAAATTTCATAATGGTGTTTACAAATGCAGCATAAAATAGTTTTTAAAAATATATAAAAAAAATGTTATAATACTGTTGCTGATTAGAAAAATTAGTAGGAATTAATACTATAATTAAAAGAAAAAAAATAACAAAAAACAAAACCTCTCAAGCAAAAAAACACAGAAAGAAGAAAAGGTTACAAATATAGATGAACAAAACTGAGTTATGAGGAAGAAAAAAGAAAAGAACAAAGTTCAAATTCAGGAAACATGGTTCAATTCAGTTTTAGTTTTGTAAATAGAAACATAAAACCCTTTTTTCAAAGTCTTACTGGCTAGCTTGGTATAGCCTTAGGCCAGAGATAATTCTCTGGCCTGTGTGGCAGACTACTTCTGGGCATTCACAGAAGTAGCTAGGAATATTGAACCAAAATTTAAGCCAACTTTGTATAGTATGTATACAAGAACTTTAATAAAGATAATCAGCAAGGCTGCCTAAATTATAAAACAAAAAAATAAAAAAAATAAAAACTTTATAAATATTTAAATTATTTGAATGTTATTAAACAAATTGTATATTTGTAATATATTTAATAAATTTAGAAAATATGTTAAAAATGAATAATAGTTTAATATATTTCAATTTAATTTAATTCTTTTGTAATATTTTAATTATATTTACAATCATTCAAAATTTATTAAGAATAAAATTAAAGATATTTATTTACTAACTCTGTAATGTTTTTAGTATAATATGTTTTTTATGCTTTTTCTAATATTAATTCATAAAATTCTGGATGCTTTTTAAACATCTATGTTTTAGTTACATCTATTAAATCATTTTCAAAGAGATAAATTGAATATTTTAGCACTTTCTTTATAATCAATTTAACTAATTGCTAATTATACAAAATAATACAAATTATTAGTAATTTAAAACAATTGCCAATTGTTTTTTTGAATTATAAAATTATAACTAATACTTTTATAAGTTTATTTTTAGTTGATAAATTATATGATTCAGTTATTTTATCATCTAACTTAGTTAAATGTCTTTCTATTTTATTAACCTTTTCAAATAATTCTGTAAGTTTATCTATAATTTTTGTAAAAAGATTTTCTGAATTTTATAAAGAAAAATAAATTAAAACATTTTGAAAAATTAAAAATAAAATAAATTAATTAATATTCTCAAAATTTTAAATTCTTTCAGAAGGATGTAAAATTCTTTTAATACTTTTAGGTGATCTTCTCACAGAATTTGTTGCTTCTCTTCTTTCTGTAATTAAAGCTTTACTTCTTTTTAAAGTTACAGCTTCACTTATTTTAGAATGTTGTGATGTTAAATTAGCAATTAGTTTTACAAAAATTTGTTTTTTGATTTCAATTATTTTTTGGTGATTTTAGTTATTATTAAAAATATATGAAATATTTCAAAATAATATAATATAATTAAAAGTGTAATGTAAATTATAAAAAAAAAGAAATTAAAAATATTATGAAAAGAAAAATTGCAAATATAAAAAAAAAGTAATAAAAAAATAGAAAAAAAGTAATATATAAAAAAAAAAAAAGAAGGATGATAATCCTAATATAGTGGTTGGGTTGTCATTCTCCAAGTAGCAGGTCTAAGGTTCAAATTCTACCTATAACAAAATTTAGAAATTATATCTGCATTATAATAACTGTCTCTTGTTGATTAGTTGGCCTTATGTGGCTGTAATCCAGATATACCAAGTCAGGTCCTACTGACATTAGGGATGGTAAAGTCAGTTCAGGTTCAGTTTTGGTTCTAAGACCTTTAGGTCTTGTTACAAGGACTCTTGAACTAAGTTCTCATATAATAAGTTCTAGAACCTAAGTTAGTCTAGGTTTAGTTTAGAACTTGGTCCAATAACCAATTTAAAAACCAGTTCTAGAACCTAGATTAGGCTAGATTTGGTTCAAAACTTGGTTCAAGAACCAGTCTCAGGACTTAGGTCAGGCTAGGTTTGGTTTAGAACTTGGTCCAAAACCAGTTCTAAGACAGAGATCAAAAATGCTAATTTGCTATGACCAAGATTAAATTCTGCATATGGCTAAGAAAAATTCTATGCTGTTTTTATATAATATGTATAAAATATTTCTGTGATTTAATGTACATATTTTCTGCTATAAGCTGTTTTTAAGAAAAACCTTTGTAGTTGTAGTAAAATTATCGCTAAGGCTAAAGATTCAAAGCCACCCAATCATACAGTAGATTAACTAATTTTACAGTATATTAACTTGAACTTTATTACTAAGTTAAAGTCAAATAACACCTTTAATACAATAAACACTTTTAAAATAATAAAGAAACCAAATTTCTGACAAAGATAACAAATAATTGAAGATAAATAAAACTATTTAATTTCATAAAAAAAAAAAGAAAAAAAAAAGAAACTTTAATTTCATAAAAAAAAAAAAAAAAATATATATAATGCCTGATCTGCATTAATTTTTAATGCCACAATATTCTAAAGTCACTTTTTACTTCTTTTTAATTAAAGTTAACCTATTTAATCATGAATTATAATTAGAAATCAAGAAAATATTTTTATTTTTTATGATTACTAACCATTAATAGAATCTTATTTTCAATTCAACTTTTAGAACACAAAGATGTCCTTGATGTTTCTGAATCAAGACGATTTCAGATCTTTGATATAGTATTTTCTGCTACTGAAAAAGCCTGCTCACAGGCTACACTGATTGCCTGGATTGACAAATAATCTCTTGCTATACATGCTAATGTTGGAAATTCTTTTGCATATACTTGCTACTATAATAAAGGTGTAATATCTTTAGTACAAGATAAAGCCAAGTATCATTCTAGCTCATTGGCTGGCTTTTGCTTTGTTTCAGAAATTTGTTCTGTGTGGTGTCATTTAAGCACATAAAAGTATTAATAAGCTATATTAACATTATCTATAACATAAGATGGCAGATAAGTTGATTTGTTAGATATAAAATATTAATCAAATATTTTTCTAATTTTACTAATTGCATTAGAGGTTTGTTATCTAATTTCAAATAGTAAAAGCTTTATTTGTGGGTCAAGAATAGTTGCAACAGTTGTTGCATTATTAATTATATTCTTATATTCACTAATTTTTTTATTAATTGAGATAGCTAATATATATTGCCTAGATTCATCACTTTTTATATAATTATTAAGATATTCTTGAATACTGCCAAATACCAATCAAACATCTGCAATTGTTAGATATAAAGATGTGAATAATAATTTTGTAGCCTTTTCTAATAGTTCTATTAAGATAAGTATCTTCTAATTTCAAATATTCAAATTAATATTAGAATGTAATATAATATTTACTATCTAGAATTCTTAGATTATTTTTAAAATTTTTATATTATAAGAACCAAAAAATTAACTTTATATAATCTAAATTAATTTTAACATATTTTACCTTTATTCTCATTCATTCTTCTGTTGTAGATATTAAATTTTGAATTTCATAATTGTTAATAGCTAACATTTACAAAGCAGTTTTTATTTGATCAAATTTTTTTAGCATATAATATGTGCTGTTCTATCTCATTTCAATGTCTAATTCTGGCTTCAAGTAGTCTAACTTATGCACAGCACATAAATTCCTTAATTTATCATATAGCCTTGTTAATACTTTAATTTTTGATATTAATGTATGCATATTAGCAATTTCTTTTTCAATAACCTCTAACCCATGATGTGCAGCTAAATTTAATACATATGCAGTACATCTATAGTGATAAAAGCTTTGATTATCCAATTCTGTTAGTAAGCTATTTGCCAAGACCTGCCCACAAACTAGCATGGCTAATTTGTTATTAGTAGTAAGGGCCAATGTTTTATTTAGAAGATTAAATTCTACTAAGACTCTATTAATTTCATTTGCTATATTTACTCCTATGTGACACATATTAAAGAAAACAATATCCAACAAAAATTGATGAAACTTCCATTGATGATCTATATAGTAAATGGTAATTCTGAGGAAAGCTTTATAATTAATAGTTGATATCCATATGTCTGTTGTTAAAGAAATTTTGCTAGAGATTTTATGTAAAATATTAATTATAGTTACTCTTTGTTCTTTGAAGTAACTAATAACTATATCTTTAACTTGATAATGATCTGAAACTTTGTAATATATATTGAACATGTTGATCATTTCAATAAATTTTTTATTTCCAATAACACTGAATGGTTGTTGGTCTACAATCACTCAGATGATTAAAGCAGTATTATGGTCTTTTTTTTGCTTCTTAGACCATAGATCAGCATAAGTAAATGATAACTTTGATTAGTAAGATTTAATTTTTGGGATTTTAATATTATGTCAGCTACTTAAATGTCTTTCTAAACTCATGTTTCCAGTTTTATCTAAAAATTTGGCTTTACATTTCTTGTATATTGGGTTATTGAGTTCTTTGTCTTTAAATTTAAAATAAGACTATAAGGGCAATGGTTTTCTTTTATTGTTAGTCAAGGTTAATGAAGTTGATGTTAAATTAGTCTCTAACTCTAGGAAGAGCAATGCATTATATATTTCATTTTCATTATCATAATAATCAGTGTTTTTAGAATCTATAACAATAAATAGTTAGGATCAGTAATAATAAACAAGTTAGGATCCATAATAGTAAATAGACTGTGAACGATTATGAAGAGCAAACTGCTTGTAGTTTTTGATAAGAGACTTAAATATATATATATATATATTGTTTTTTTTTTAATTTTACTTTATTAATATTATTTTTAAAATTTACAGATTTTACACAAGGCTTAAAACTTTAGAACTTAGTTTGAGATTTCTTTAATGCATAATGCAAATGATATTGCAACTTTGAGTGATTTTTATGATATAAAAGCCTGTTTATCATTATCTTAGATCTTTAGAATTTTAATAAAATTTTTTTATGCATAATTCAAATAGTGCCATAACTTTTGGGGATTTTCACAATATAAAGACATGTTTATCTTGAATCTTTAAAATCTTGTTAGAATCTTTAATATATAATGCAATAGTATTGCAACTTTTGGAGATTTCACAATACAAAGAGATGTTTATCTTACAAAATTTTTTATTTTACTATAACTATAACTAAAAATTTTTTTTTATTTTTACCCAATTTTCAAATTAGAATATTATTATCTTGGCTTAGCTTGTATATATAACTATTATAAAACCTAATTGATAAATAGAGCTAAACAAACTAATAACATCCCTATTTCAAGTACATTACATTGTTCTTTTTTGTTGTAATACTTTGTTCCTTCTATTTATAAAATGCATTAGAATATTTATGACACCAAATGTAACAATGGATTATTGAATTTCTATGATGCAATAGATTGGGTAGCAAAATTTGTGCAATTAGCACAAATTAAATAAAAGCAAATTAGACTCCAACTGGCATCATGTAATCCCTAATATGAATCTGATTTGAAACAGGTATTTTGCAGATAAGTTATAAGTAATTTTTAAGATACAAATTGGATGTTTAATATATATCAGAATTGTTAAAAGTTTAATATTCTGATATGTATTAAATGCCTATATAAGCCTGATTTGTATCTTAAATTCTTCTATATCTGAGATTATGTAATGTTTGCTTTTATTCGACCTGTGTAGTTATAAAATTTGTGTTTTATACACTCTTTTGAACTATAATGTTGATTATTTTTTATTTTTAATAAACCTTTTTTGTTACTTAAATTTGGTAATTCCTAATCTCAGGTCTCATATTTGATAGTGATGAGATCATTTCTTGTTATCTAAATTTAGTACTTCTAATTCTATAGCAAATCTCACATTCTATTATGTATTCTACTATGATTATATAACGATATCATGATTTTTAGTTAAAATTTTTGTCATGTTTGATCTTGTTTTTATATTAGGATGTGAGTGTTGTCAAGTTGAAGTTTGTAAATGTAAAACCTGTGCATATGAATAATTTTTGTAAAATTAAGTACTATACGGTTAGTTAATCTTATATAGTTGATAATTTTGACAAGTTAAATAATAAAATAAAATTTAAATTTATTAATATTTTTCCTTACTTTTATACAAATGGCAGATAAAAAAATAGTATTGCAGCAAATTTATAAAATATGTAAATATTGATTAAACTGAGATAATCAATATTCTTAAGTTAGAATACATCATTTTAATAAATCTCTTATTGAAATAGGAAGATAAAGTTAGATATATTATCTATCTAAATCTAAAAAGTTCAAAAAAAATTTGGAGGATTTAATATTAATTAATTACAAACAAGTTTGTTTTTTGTTGATAATATTATATAAGTATTTTCCTGAAATGATTAGAACACTATTATATCTTCGAAGACAGGTTCTTAAAGTTCTTAAGTTCTTAAGTTCTGGATTTAAGAACCTGGTCTTTAAGTTTGAGACTTAAGAACTTAAAAACTAGGTTTTAAGTTTTAGACTTTACTATCTTTAATTAGGACCTATAGCAGACCTATGAACCTAGATCTAAAAATTAGAACCTAGTTTTTAAATACTAGGTCCCAAGACTAGGTCCTAAAGTCCTAGACCCAAGGACTTTACCATCTTGAACTCACATTAAGAGCTTAGAGCATATATGTGAAGTGTAATATTGCATATACATAAAGGAATATATAACTGATGTTGCATAAAACTTTAGTACAAATCCATAATAAGACCATCAGATGTAGAAGACTAAGGAACTAAGATGATGAAAACCTACTTGAAAATTCTCAAATAAAGAGATAACATAAATTGTTAATAGTATTATCAGACCAGTTAAAGCCTATAAAACACTTTTATAAGAACTAAAGAGTAAACCAGACATCAAATATATGTAGAGGAGCATATAACCAACCAGGCACTGGATTTACCAGAAAAAAAGAATACAAAAGTATATTATACCAGGCCATCTGAATTGGTAGTTTGAAAAAAATTGCTGGTTCCAAGTTGCAGCTAATAGAAGATGATAGAGAAGATGCCAAAAAAATAGGTACTAAAGTTTTAGTAAACTTTACAAAAGTAAAAATAATATAATATAGTAGTTAAACAGGTAATTTCTGTGACTGCAAGTGTTAGGTAACTATAGTATGTTGCATAAAAGTAGGTTTGTATATGTGAAACATAAAGGCTTTAGTAAGTTTTTTGTCAAGAATAAAGTAGTCCTAAAGGTAACAACCAGCATCAGAAACTTGAATGAGTGTAGCTTTGAGATGTTCTTGTAATACAAAAAAGATTGCATATACAGAGAGTTTAAATAGGCAAAACTTCTAGTTGGCTTGCAGGTATAGCAACTAGTATAAAACTTATATAGCAATATGTAAGCAGACTATTTAAATTAGGCACCAAAAGTGCATATATAGCTAGTTGTAACCTTTAATATAAGGTAGCTCTTGGTGGCATGCCATGTCTTATATATTTGAATAAAAATATCACATTCTCAAGACAGTGACTTTAACTATAAAAAAAAAATAATAATAAAAATATAAATAAAAAACAAGTACTATATAAAGCTATTTAAAATAGAAGAATTATGTAAAATATTATAAAAATATGTAGAAAATTTTAAATAATAATGAATATTTGTAATTAGTAAAAAGTTTGAATAGATTAAAATATAAGAAAAACTAGCAATAATACTAAAATATTGCAAACAAATTATCTTTTTTTTTTATAATTTAAAAGCTTTAATTATTTCAAAGCAATTTTAATATTCTTAATTAATTAAAATATTTAAATGCATATTTTAATAATTACAATAATTCTAAAGTATTCAAATATATTCATTCTTTATTAAAAATTTTTAAGGTATTCAAAAATTATTTCATTTTAATTTAACTTTTAATTATTTTAAATATATACTTTTATGTTGTTTTTAATGTAATTGCATTAAATGTTTAGCAATTTTAATTACATTTCTAGTTTTAGATAATTATAAAATACTTTAAAACAAATTAATTTATATTAAAAATAAATAACTATTTATAAAATATTTAGTTAATTATATGCATTTTTTGTATCAATTTACTGTTTTTGTTAATAATAACTCTAATTTTTAATTTATATTTTTATGTAATCAATTATTTAATACAAATATTATAATTAATATTAAAAAAGATTAAATAAAGCAAATAAAGAAAGCTAATTTATTGTTTAGCAAAAGTATTTTTTAGAATTAATCAGAGCAAAAGAATGCAAAAGAATTGCAAAATAAAAAATTATAACAATATTATCACAAATTTTTAAACTACAACATTTTAAAAGAATTAAATTAGATGTGAATATTTTGAAATTATTTAAATAAGCATGATTATATAAATTTATTAAAAATGTTTTGTAAAATGTGATAAAAATAAATATTTAGCAAATTATTTTGATTATAATAATATTTTAATAATCTAATATAAATAAGTACTCAATATAATTGCATCTACTAATATTATTAAATATTCATAATATTTGGCTATTTTAAGTTTATTTGCAATTTTTGAAAGTATTGCATTTGGGCTATCTTGTGAATAATTATACAAATTTGATTGATTAGTACTATTATGATTAAAAAATCTTTATTTACATATTTATTATTAAATAATTTCAAAATTATTTAAAATAAATTTGTAATATTGCATTATTTTTAAAATATTATAATTTATAAATTTGATAATAATAGTATTAATTTAAGTCAAAATTTTTTGGTAATTATGTAGCTAGAGATTTATACAATTAAGTTTTTTTTTTTTAGATATTAAAATAAATATATGTGACTTAGGATTTTATTGATAGTATATATTGGCAAGCATCTGTTAATATAACAGTGCAGAGATGATTATAAAAAGAGTGTACAACTAGCTACTCATATAACTTTAGTCATTATCTAATTTAAGTAGTCTGCCTAAAGATTTTACACTAGTTGCTATACCTAGAATCTATCTGTAGATCCTCTATTTAAACACTCTAATTTCATATCTATCACACCTTACCAATGACTCTGATAAATCTGAAAGATATGCTATAGCTGCTAAGTTATATTTAACTTTGTACTAAATCTACTGAAGCTTTCTGTATCTTATACTTATAGCTGATCTGATATTATTTTGGTTTAGACTATTATTTACAGTTAGAGCTAACTATTAAATCACTATACTCTTG